TAATCTATATAAGAGTCTTTAACTATTGTGGGTTATGGGCTTAGGCTACGGCCCAAGCCGTGTAGTCACGTGCGGAGGGCCGGATCCCGCACGCATGTGTGCGGGCCAGCCGCGCATAGGAGAGCTCTGCATAGCTTATTAACATCATCCTACGGACGGCACCTGCGCGTACGCCTCTGCCTACTCCGTGATAGTATAAGCTATCAATTAATGGATCTAATGGATGTCTCTCCGGAGAGGGCGCCTCCCCCTCGAGGAAGCACTCCGCCCCTCCCCGGACGGACAGGAAGTATCGCAGCCATCCTGGAAGCGATTAGAAGCGCGACGGCTAGCGAGAAGGACGAGGTTCTCGCTGCACTAGGGGAGCCGTCGGCGAGACCGGCTTTGACCCCTACGACCTCCGCAACGCCGGTTACGGCGGCGACACCACCGACGAGGAAGCCGCTCCCTTGGCCGACTTGGGACGGCAAGCCGGAGTCCTTTTACTTCTTCCTTAGCCGGCTATAGACGAAGTTTATGACCGACGAGAAATGGGGCCTAAATGGCTGTCGCGACATAGCGTGGTATTCGCTCCTCCACACGCTGCCGGAGCCCTAGATGCGGCGGATCTCCGGATTCTGGGATAAGGGCGGCCCCGGGGGCAGACGCGACCTATAAGACTTCTTCTAATACCTTATATATGCGTTCGGCAACGTGCAGGAGCGGGAGAAGGCGTAAGATAGGCTGCGGACCCTTAAGCAGAGAGACGGATAAACCTTTAGCGAATTCCTTCCTAATTTCGAAGAGACGCTCTTACGGGCAGCGGGGACTACGGTGTAGGAAGACAGCGCGAAGCTTATATAGCTACGGAATTCGATCACGCCGGCCCTACGGGAGCTACTTATCCCCGTGATTATGCCTACTAACTACGGCGAGTACGTGAGCCGGTTAATAAAGGTGGCTTAGGGCTACGAGCAGATGCCGCGTTTCTAGAAGCTCCGTAAGCGCACGCCGTATAGCGGCGACGGGATTACCGCCCCTCCGTAAGATAAATAACCGGCTATCGACACGGACGGGGATACCCTAATGTCGGCTACCCGCACGGACCGGGCTAGACGCGGTAAGAAGACGCCGTCGACTACCCCCTACACCGCCCCGCACTCTAAGTAGCGGGCGAAGTAAGTAACGAGCGAGGAAATCGGGAAGAGGAAAGCTAACGGCCGCTGCCTACGTTACGGAGCATCTACGTACTTTATATTAAAATGCCCCTTCCTTTTAGCTAAGCGGCCCGTGGCGGTTCGAGTAGCGAAGATAGAACCGCTCCTCGCCTTAGACGATGAGGAGGACTCCGCCCCCCTAGGCCCGGAGGAAAAGAGTAGCCTGAGTAAAGACGGGCCTCGAGCCCTAATTGCTAGCACCAGCAAAGGAGAAGGAAGAATTGTCCGCCCGTATGTAAGAGGAGCCACTTTAATATAGGTTGTGATTAATAACTCTGCCCGTCGCCGCCCTTATGACGAGGGCTGCTAGTGCTACGCCGTAGTTAACGAGGCGCTTGCGCGAGAGATATAAGTGCCGGTAGAAAAGATCGCCCTGGCGAGTAAAGCGCGCCTTAGGCGCGATAGAGGTGCGGTAATTAGGGCATTACGTAGCTAGCTATGAGGTCGACGGTTGCTATGTTTATCGCCTATGTGATCCCCTAACTAGAGTTTCCCTTAATCCTCGGGAAACCCTGGTTATTATATATAGAGTTATACTCGGTTCCGTACTAGAGGAAGCTATGGTTTAGGCCTACGTAACGGTGGGTCCGCCACGACGACGGTTCCGTAGGCGTGGGACTAGGCGTGCGAGCTTTATGCTCGGCATAAGAAGTCCTTGCCTCTATCTTTATAGGAACCGTGCGATGGGTAGAGCGGGGGCAGGGCCGGGCAGCGGCTGACGCAGCGGTCTGCGTAGTCAGCCTAGCGGACATCGATAAGGCCCTCCGGACGAAGAAGCCGAAGTCGCCCTCTAAGCTACGGCAATAGATACCGGAGCGCTTTCACGACCTCCTGCCGCTATTCGAGTCCTAGGAAGCGGATAAGCTTAACCCGTATAAGCCGGGGGTAGACCATAGGATCGTACTCCGCACCGATAAGAAGGGGCAGGAACTGCCCGCACCGTTCGGACCGCTATATAGTATATTACACGCGGAGCTGCTGGTGCTAAAGAAGACGCCAGGGACTCCTAGATAAGGGTTTTATTTAAGCAAGCAGCTCCGGCAGGAGCGCCGGTCCTATTCGTGCGTAAACTAGGGGCGGGATACGGTTCTATCAGCTCGGATACGCTCCGTAACCTTTCGAAGGCGAAGTGGTTTACGAAGCTTAATATAAAATAGGCGTTCTATAAGGTACGGATCTCGGAGGGTGACGAGTGGAAGACGGCGTTCCGTATACGCTACGGCTTATTCGAGTGGCTTATAACGCCCTTCGGCCTCTTAGGAGCGCCCGCCACCTTCCAGCGTTATATTAACAACGTACTTCGGGACTTCCTTAATAAGTTCGCCTCCGTATACGTAGATAATATCCTTATCTATACGAGCGGCTCCTACGAGGACTATATACGGAAAGTGCAGAGGGTCCTAGAGCGCCTCTAACTTTATAGGCTCTACCTCGACCCGGATAAGTGCGAATTCGGTTAAGAGGTTATACTTAGCTTTATTATCTACGTAGGCGCATATAAAGCGGACCCTGTAAAGATCTAGGCGATTCGGGACTAAGCTGCCCTAACTACGTAGATAGGCGCGGAGCTTCCTTAGGTTCGCGAACTATTATAGGATGTTTATGCTTCTCCCGTATTATAATGCCCTTAAACGAGATTACCGGGAAGCGGACCGCCTTTCGCTAGGGGCCCGTATAGGAAGGAGCGTTCTATACGCTTAAGGACCTATTCTCTTAAGCCCCGGTGCTACTCTAGTAGGACTTCGACCGGTCTACGTTAGTTAAAGCGGACTATAGCGGCTAGGCACTCGGAGGAACGCTCTCCTAGGAGGTAGACGGGCGGAAGCAACCGGTGGCGTTCCACTCCCGCAAGCTAACCCCAGCGGAGCGGAATTACGCTATTTACGATAGGGAGATGCTAGCGATTATTAGCTGCCTCGAGCAATGGTAAGCGGAGCTCCGGAGCTATAAGAGCTTCGAGGTTCTTATAGACTATAGGAACCTCGAGTACTTTATAACTCGCTAGCACCTCTCGGAGCGGCAAGCCCGCTAGGCGGAGTATCTCTTACGCTTTAACTTCTCGATTAAGTACCGCCCCGGGCGGGACTCCGCGGTCCTAGACGCGCTTTCCCGGAGGGATCAGGACCGGCCGATAGGAGCGGACATCGAGGCCCGGGATCTATAGCTTATCCCGCAGGAAGCACTACGGACTTATATAGGAGCTTCCCTAGTAGAGGAAGACGCGGTGCTAGCGAATAAGCTTCCCCCCGCGCCCTTGCCTCGGTCCGGCGAGGAGGGATAGACCGGCCCGGGGGCGCGCGCGGCGAGAGTGTTCTAAGATGAGGCCCTTTAACGCTTATGGGATAGGATGGCGGCCCTAGACCGCACCTACGAGGGCGTGCGCCGCGCCGTTGAGTCCGGCGCTCGACGCCTAGATCCGAAGCTAAAGCTAAAAGTATAGGTGGCCGACTGCTATATCGACCTACGGGGGCATCTACGCTAGCGGGGGAGACTATAGGTACCGGGCGCACCGTATACCACGGAAGCTAAGGAGAAGGAGGGACCGCCGGAGCTAGACGAACGGAACGAGCTCCGAGGGAGGCTAGTCTAACTTATCTATGACTCTAGCGTCGTAGGTCACCTAGGCAGATAGGGCACAGCAGCAGGCCTTGCGAGGGACTTTTACTAGCCCCTCCTATAGCACCACGTTCGTCGCTTCCTCCGTAACTACGATATCTACGGCCGCACGAAGATCTAGAGGGCGTAGCTTAAGGGGCTGCTTAAGCAGCTTCCGGTGCCCGACCGGTTCTATACGTATATATAGATAGACTTTATAACGGACCTCCTACTTATAGAGGGCGGCAACCGCTATATATAGGTAATTAAGGACCGACTTAGTAAGTCTATAGTATTAGAGCCGATGCCGTCTATAGTGGCCTATAACTAAGTAGACTAGGACCGGTAGCTCCCCGCGGCCTAACTTACGTTAAATAGTAGACTATATACCTTTATTAGGATGGCCCCTTTCTTTGCAACGCATAGCTTCGAACCACCCTTACTAGCTCCCTTTACCGTAGACGTGGCAGCGGAGCAGTATAGTAATTCGTTACCGGAGGGCCGCGCCTCCGCGTTCGTACGAAAGCTATAGGAGACCATAGATTATTGCTAATCCGCGATGGCCGCCGCGGCGTAAGATTAGGAGCGGCACGCTAATAAGACTAAGGCCCTAGCAAATAGGTTCGCGGCAGGAGATAAGGTATAGCTAGACCTCCGTAACTATAGGTCGGCACGACTAAAGAAGAAGCTTAACTAGCTATACGCGAAGTTCACGGTGCGGAGGGTTATTAGCCCGTAGGTTATAGAGCTCGATAGTCTCCTAACGGGGGTCTATAATAAGATCAACGTAGACCTCCTTCGTAGAGCCTCCTCTAACCCGCTGCCCGGATAAGAAGCAGCGGACGCCTAACCGCCCGCAATCGAGGTAGAGGGAGAGGACGAGTTCGAGGTCGAAGAGATACGGGCCGCGCGATAGAAAAAGGTCGGTAGGGGGAAACGCCGGGAGGTCCTCGTTAAGTGGCGCGGGTATCTCGACCCTACGTAGGAACCCGTACGTGAGTTTGCGGGAACCGCAGCCCTCGATAAGTTCAAAGCCTTATTCGGAACGGTAGACGAGAACGACGGACTAGCGGACCACCGATAGTAGCCCGGGCTAGGACCACGAAGTAGGCAAAGCGGAGTAGGTAGTCACGATAACGCGAGCGCAATTATATAAGCGGAGATAAAAACAGCGTTTATTTTAGGGCGGAGCCCCTAGACTACCTAGACCTACTCCTCGTCCTTATCGTCGTCCTTATCCTTATCCTCGTCGTCCTCCTCCACCTTATTAGCGGCGGCGGCGCTCTCTAGGGCGCTTAGGCGGCCCTCTAGGCCCGCGAGCCAGTCGGCGGCAGCGGCGGCTCCGGGGGCTCCGGGGCGGGGCCCGCCAGCAGCAGCGGCGGGGGCGGCGGGCACGGCTATAGGGACCGCCGATAGGGCGACGGAGGCAGTGTCCCTAGTGCCGGGAGAGTCAGTAGCGGAAGCAGAAGAGCTAGATAAGAGGAACTTACTTAGGGACGAGGCCCTAGCGCTCGAGGGCGCGGAGATTGCGGTAGGCGGCGGCGGCGGCGGTGAGGCGCTTCTTGGCAGCCCCCCGTGCCTGCCCGTGCGCGCCGGCCTTCTAAGCCGACGCCGCAGCGAGCAGGACGGGAGGCGCCGCCTCATAGGCGCGGCCGGCACGCGCGCACTAGTAACAACTGCCGCCACGGCGGCGCCCGACTTGGTCGGCGTAGGGGAGCTCCTACGACGCGCACCGCACATAGGGGGCCGCGCGGGCGGCTCCGGCCTGCACTTGGCGTTTGTGCTTTGAGAAGTTAGCGGAAAATGGCCACCACGCTCGCTAGGCAGCGGACTTACGGGGGTGGCAGTGGCGGAGGCGGGGGCGGAAGGGCCGGGCGTCACGGCCGGCGGCGGGGACGGCGTCGTTACCCGGAAGGGCGACGTGAGGGCGGCCAGCGCAGCGGAGGCAGAGGCGGCGGCGGTGGGCGCGGTCGCGGGGGCGCGGGCAGGAGCAGCGGCAGCGGCGGAGCCGTCGTCGGCCGTGCCCAGCACGGCGTCGACGAACGACTCCGCACGCTCCGAGAAGGAGGAAGCGGGGGAGGGGGAGGCAGATATGTCTATCGCGGAAGTCAGCATCACGGATTGCGGCCTCCCGCTCTATAGGGCGGAGAACTTACTAGTTAAAGTTGTTGTTGTTGGGGCTATTGTTGCTGCTGCGGCTGTTACTGCGAGCACACGTTAATAAAGCGGCCCGCATAGCTAGGAACGAACTAACGCCCTAGGTAGAGCGGAACTTACCTATTGCTACTACTGCTGCGGTTAAAGAAGAAGGAGAAGGAAAGGAAGGAGGAAGGGGGGGATGCCGCCTTATATACCCCTAGGTAGAGGAGGCTGCCTAAGGCCGAGGGGACGGGCAACCTAAGGCTTACGTAGGTCCGGGCCGGCCGCCGGCTACCTAGGGGCGCATATAATAGGTTGCGCCCCTATTTAAACGGCCAGCCGGCCGATAAGTATGGAGCCCGGTTCCGGCTGCCCGCTAATAGGCGGGGACACAGGCTAGTAGGGCCAGCACGATTAACGGAAAAGGGCAGGGTGGAGCTAGCGGCACGGGCCCTATAGTGCGGAAGCCGTTAATAGGGCAACGCCGCGCCGCGCTCGAGGGAGGGCATTGTATAAGAGTCTTTAACTATTGTGGGTTGTGGGCTTAGGCTACGGCCTAAGCCGTGTAGTCACGTGCGGAGGGCCGGATCCCGCACGCATGTGTGCGGGCCAGCCGCGCATAGGAGAGCTCTGCATAGCTTGTTAACATCATCCTACGGACGGCACCTACGCGCACGCCTCTGCCTACTCCGTGACAATCTAGTTCTATACTTACGTAGGGTTTTAAAAGTACTTATCCTTTAAACCTAACTAAGAAGGCGTCGTATTATACCTTTATTCAGAAGTATATTATATAATCTAGGTAGATATATAATATCTATAAAATATACTTATAGTGCTTATAAGTAAGTAGTATTTATAGATCGTCTTTAAATTCTCCTTATAGTTACTATTCTCGTTATAGAGCTATAAAGGTATCGACTATAGCAATAGCTATAGTATAGTCTCCTCTATATAGTACCGGTTAATACTAAATTAATATAGCTTATTAGTTTTCTATAAGAATTTAAGGTATTTATTAAGTTTTAATTTTAAGTATTTCTTTAAATTCTTCGAAGTATAGAGCGTATTCTTTAATCGTAGTATTTTCCCTTAGTAGCGAGGGTAATAGTATAAGTTCGTTCTTATCTTCTATTTCTCTAGGTATTTCTTATTTTTTAGAGCTTATATTATCGATACTTTATTATTCCTTTTTAGGTTATTATCTAAGTTTCGTAAGTATAAGGGCTACGTCTATATCTTCTTTATTATATTATTTATAGACTGCCCGTTATTATTATCGATTTTTATTTTATATATCTTCCTAGAATTATTTACCGTTCTTCTTAATCTAGTCTTAGGAGACTCCTTTAAGATAGGGGTATTTTAGTTCTATAAATTTAACTTATTTCTATATTTTAGGATCCTTTTATTATATTATTATAAGGGTTTTCTTTAGTTACTTTAGGAACTATTTAATACCGTTTTTATCGCTTAAGTATACTATATATTTATCGTCGTAGTATATAGTCTAACTAAGGAGTTTATACTTTAGTTCCTATCTATTAGTAGCGTTTAAGTATTTCTTACTTTCTAGGGCTAGTACTTAGTAGGTTTTCTTCTCCTTATAAGGTTATCTATATTCTTTAAAGTAATATCTATATTTCCTATAGTTAAAATACTTTCCTTTACTTTTCTATATTACGTTTAGATTTATCCTACCTAGGTTAGTTATATAGGCATAGGTAATAGGAGTTTCGCGCTTCTTTTTATAGTTAGCGCGTCGGTTAAAGTTATTCCTATAAGAAAGGTTTTAGTTTCCTCTTCCTTATTTCTTTTCTTAGTATCGCGTATACTATCTATCGTCGATTCGTACTACTATAGTAATATAGTCCGAGAGGTTATTAGGTCGATTTTCCTTATAGAGTTCGTCCTTAACTTCTTCTTTAAGCCTATTATAGAATTATAATATAAGAGGTTCGTTATTGTAGGAATGTATCTATCTAGTGGTGTGACCAACCATGGTTGGCACGTGACCCGTACGGTCACGTGTGCGGCTGAGGGCAGCGTGCCCCCTTTCTCCACGCTGGCCTCTGCCTCCTTAGATAGAGAATCAAGACGAATACAACATCACAGGCTAACCCTAGTACCGTCTCATTGCAGCAGCTGCCGCAGGTGCCTACCCACACTGATCAGTGACCGGCCCACGCCCGTCACAGACAGCTAAGTAGAAGAGACAAATTCTCAACCTTCGAAGGTGCTATAGTCCGCGTCACTTTACTGTGGCCCTGAGTAGCGCTCAGAAGAAGGTTATTTGTGCTAAGAACAAGGAATCTCCCGCTGGTTTGCCCAGCCGCGCGAGAGTCCTTCCAACTGTTGATTACGATCGCCCGCTAGTTTGCCTAGCCGTGAGCACCGGAATCGACAGGCGACCACATCGCAAACAACTAGTAAGAACGTTCGACCCTTGACGTTAAGTAGCAAGATCCCCGTCAGTTCAGTCTGGCCGCGAACGACCTACTTAGTACGCGACGCTCGACCTCCTATTAGCGACAACTCGTATACGAAGAGACCAATACGAACCCCACATCGTCTCATTCATTTGATCACGATAGCCCTGACCGCCCGAGCTATGTCCCCAGAAGCCCAGCTCGAAGAAATATGCGACCAGATGCAGGCACTAGACATCCAAGCATCCGCATTCCGACAAATTAATATCGACCTTTGGGACAACGATATCACACACGACGAAAAGGACAAGATCGCAGTAACGACATATGTGGCAAAGTTCATATTCATCGTTCAATCTGGCAGTGATCAAGGATACGACCTCCTTGGTTACTTCCAACAGCATTTTGAAGAATGGACCGAAGACACATGGGACCGCGCCCCGAATGAATACAAGAGAGCCCTCAGGAAACTACTAAGGAAAGAGGTATCTACACAGGTTCACAAAGGGGAAATTGCAACACAATTTCTCATATTACAAACTATCGAGAACCCACAAACCTGGCCAGAGCAGGAGTTTACGGAGATGGTGTTTGATGAGAGGACTGCTGCCTTCAGGAGGCAGACAGCATTACTAGGATCAAATGCTTCCACTAATCCCCATCCGTCTCAACCTCCTTCACCATCAGTTACGCCCTTAGCAGCACCTCATCAAGGTCTTAACGAACCACAACCTATTAAGACCCTAACGAGCCCTCCTAACGCACCTACTCCTGCTCCGACTATCCAAGATAAACCTGCTCCGACCTCTCTTACTATTCATCCGACTTCCTACCGCTTCCAGAACCCCGATCTCGTCCAACCCGTCACCAACCCCATCCCCGAACACTTATCCGGCCCTGCAACCTTTGGAGAATACATGAAACTCCCCCCGGATAACATCCCGAACGCTATCGTCGATAGCGACATCCAGCAGAAGTTTATGAAGACCTGGAACAAAGATCGGAACTACACAGGAGAGCCGTACGATCTCCTTGATGATAAGCTCCGCCTCTTCTTAGCAACTGCTCTCATATCCAAGTGAAACCGTCACAATTTCACGCACTCTTTCCCGGATCCTGATGGAAGAGCCCAAAGATTCTATCTTGATAAGATCACATGGGCTACGACGTTCCGACAAGCGTATGATATCTTCAAACAACACTTTGACACGGAAGTCAACCATGTCCACTACCATACTGACTGGACAACAATAACCTTTAACTCCATCCGTGCCCAAGATGCTTCGAAGACCCCCCACGAAGTGCTTCAAACCCTCTTTGATAAGCTTCAGCTCTGCCAACGAGCCCTTGGCAGGAGTACGGAGGAGACCTTCTACTGCGTACAACGCTTATGAAAGCATGCCGTGGAGTACCCGAACTCCAATACGCTCTTTTCAAACCCGCCGATAACGTCGAGCACCTTCTGCAGATCTTCGTGCATCCGTTGAAACCCATCTTGCCCTCATAACAACTTCTCAATTTCCCTTGACTTTGCTGGATCATTTGATCATAACGATCCACACCATCAGTACTACCTCGACCGTCGATACAATAACAACCGCTCGAGGTAGATACGGATATTCAGGTCAACGACCCAGCCGCGGATACAGACAAAGCTACAACCGTGGAAACTACCGGCCTCAAAGCCGTAGTAACTACAATCATAGCTACAGTAACCGAAACTGGACGAAGAAGTGTTTTGTTTGTGGACAAGAAGGCTGTTGGTCAACTAAACACTCTACGGATGAACGGCAAAGGCCAAGGACCAACATATCACTCAATGTCACTTCATAGGTGTACAACTCACGGACATCGGAGGCTATATTCTAGACTACGAAGGTCATGAGATGAGCAGCTTTGATGACACTGAAGATACATGGGAAGAACATGACAATAGCACCAACGATCACCCGGAACAATGGCAAGCAAGCCAAATGCTCTGTCAACAGGCATTCAATCATTTGATCACAGGAGAAGACGTCTATCAGACGGATCAAACCGTTGTTCCAGCCTCGCAATTTATTATTGAAGATCGCTATTCAAGGGATAGATTCCAAGGTATCATGATCGACACAGGTGCAGCAACATTTTCCACAGCAGGATACTCTCAGTACATCGCCCTACAACGAGAAGACCCTTCTGTAGCTCTCGACAGCTCCACATCCGGCCAGGCCTCCATCAAATTCGGCAACAGCGACGCCATCCACCCTCGGCACAGTCGCCCTTAACACACCCTCGGAAGGATCACGTTCCACGTCCTTCAAACCCCAACTCCCTTTTGCTCTGCCTTGCTGATATGGACCGGCTTGGTATCTATTTCAACAACATCACAGATACCATCAATTGTACTAATCATTGTACTAATCGCCCTACAAGCATTCCAGTCGTACGCAAATGGGGACATCCCTGGTTCTTCCTTACGAAAGATGAAGAGTCCATCTCGTTTCTTACGGAAACAGAGATTCGTACACTTCACCGACGCTTTGGACACCCAGCAGTCCCTAGGCT